TACACCTTCCATTTCTCAGTTTCCCTGGTACTGAGCACTAAGTCTAGCACCCATATGCTGTCACTTTGACTCCTAGTCATGGGGATGCCATGTGTGTCAGAATAGAACTCGGCCCCATTGGGTGTAAGTGGTTAATATTTCAGAAGTAGATCACTAGGTCTTTCTTCCAAGGGACCTCTGGGCTTGTACCTCTAGCCTTTGGGTTAGTATCTAAATGTGTTAACTGATTGCAGCACCCAGGGTCCTGGTACACATGAAAGTTAATAATAGCAAGGATGATTACACAACTTGAATAAGGTAAAGCATGTCACTGAATTGCATAATTTGCTGTAACACATTGACTCTGTTGAAATGGCATATGGCGTATCTTTTGCTGAGCATATTTTAAACCCCCCCACCCCCCAAAAAAAGATTTTTAAATGTTAGTGAAGGACATAACCATAATCCCTATTCTAAGAACAATTAGTTATTACTATGTGCCCCTGCTCATAATACTTGCCTTAAAGAAGCGGCCCCTGAAGATATGGGTGCTACAGCAAACTGTGATAAAGAAATCAGAGGATGTCTAGCTATCAGAAAGAATTGAAAATGGGTTCTTAAAGGCTTGACTTAAAGAAGCAGCCATCTAAGTGAAGTGTCAGCTAAATCCATACAGGAGCACACCAGCCCATGTGATCCAAGGATTGTAAATAATAAAATCCAAGATCAGAGGAGGGGTTGTATTAGAGCTTAAATTCTGAACAATCTGGTTTGCAGAGGGCTATGAATGACAGTGAAAGACCAAAATCCACTTGCAGAGTCCCCACTTGGGTTAGACTCCCATTGAATTTCCCCGGACCTGGAACCGGGAATGTCAATAGTCTTGCCCTTAGACAGAGTGCATTGGAAGTGGATTACTGCAGATAGAGTTAGGTTAAAATTTAACATATTGTTACTTATTTTCCCACTTGACCTATTTTTATCTTAGGTTTTCTCTTAGATTGAGATTTTTTGTGTGTTTTATTTTACTATTGAGGTTTTTTCTATGATTTTCTTTTTATGAAATTCAGGATAGATAAATCTATAGAGACAGTAACTGGATAAATAGTTTCTTAGGGTTATCACAAGGGGAGTTGAGAGGTAATGATGAACTAGTAATAATGAATACAAGAATGAAGAAACTTTTCTAAAATTGTCATGATTGTACCATCTTTTTATTATATTTACACCATTGAAGTGTATGGTATGTGAATTATAGGTCAATGCAATTGTTTTTGGAAAAATTAGTGAAGGAAAGTTACCATAGCAAAGTGCGACTGAATCACCAAGAAACGTTCACAGTTTAGTCAGCAAGAAATAAATCACTTTTGTTCTCCATGCTGGTTTTCTGAAGCAGCACAGGAGACTGATTACTCCTCTCTTGTTCTTCCTTCCTTCCCGCGTTCTTCCTCTCCCTCTCTCTCACCCTCCCTTCCTCTTTTCCTAGAAGTCATGCTACCAAAGGCTTCTTTCTCATTTAGATAGTTCAATGAAAATGTGAGTTGCTCATAAGCTACATTCTTGAAGTTTCTCACCCTCATTCGTTTTGTGGTTCCTTCTGCTTCCACACCTGCTGCCCCGTCACTGATGTCTGCTGTCATTTTTCTGGTTGGGAGCAGATGATCGACAGAATCTGCGTGAAAGTGCAAGACCACCTCAACTCTCTACGAAACTGTGAGGGAGATGCTGTTCAGGAAGATTTAAAATCAGCGGAAAGGCTCATGCGCGATGCCAAGAACTCTAAAACGGTGAGTTCCGTGCCAAGCAATGTGAGTGTCTTGTGTTTAAAAACAGATGAAGATCAAGGCCCTTGGGAAGAATAGTAAAGTCTTCAGGATTTGTGATACAGAGAAGATGTTGCATGAATGAATTAATAATAAAAATCTTATTGTATAAAATATAAAACTATGATTGGGACCAACATTGGTGGGAGCAAGGCAGACCAGGAAGTTGGTAGGGATTCAGATGAAAGGAATGTTGGACATAGAGATGTGTGTCCAGCAGAGGCTTTTGGATGTTTCTTGTACTTGTCACGTATTTATGTGTATTTTTAAAATTTCCACAACGAAAAGGTGTTTGTAAATTCAATTTTCAAATCTACTTCTAACTTCCTTGACTTCCCTACCCCTTCCCAGAGGACTAATGTCTAGCCAGATGATTTTTTTCTTCGTCTCCTTTCTACAAAAGCAGAGGGTCAGTGTAAAGGATACTTTAGGGCCCTGAATATTAGAGAAGCTTCATTCATTCATTCTTTTGTGTTTGAAACTAATTTGTGTGTCACTTAAGAATTAAGTCAATTTCCACTTGGTCTCTACTCCAGTTCTCCCTCAATGCAAGAACACTTTGTTCTAATAACGTGGCATTCTGTGATGCTCACCCTCCCAACACGATTGCTTAAGACAAAATGGGTACATAAGTAAAGGTGGGGAAGAAACCTGATGGTACCCAGCTATCAAAAGATATAGCATCTGGGGTCTTAAAGGTTTGAAGATAAACAAGAGGCCATCTAGCTGAGAAGCAACATAGCCCACATGGAAGAAGCACACCAGCCTGTGTGACCACGAGCTGTCGAAGGAATCAAGTATCAGACATCAAAGACCCAGAACAAAAACATCATATCATTGTGAATGAGGGGGAGTGCAGAGTGTAGACCCAAAGCCCATCTGTAGACAATTGGACATTCCCTTACAGAAGGGTCACAAGGAAGAGATGAGCCAGTCAGGGTGCAGCATAGCACTGATGAAACACACAACTTTCCTCTAGCTTTTTTAATGCTTCCCACTTCCCCTTCCCCCCTATCATGACCACCTCAGTTCTACCTTACAAATCTGGCTAGATGAGAGCATGTTCATGGGTACAGATACGAGCTGGAAACACAGGGAATCTAGGACAGATGATCCTCTCAGGACCAATAATGAGAGTAGTGATACTAGGAGGGAAAGGGGAAGGTGGGGAGAGAACACAACCATCTACATATAACCCCTTCCCAGGGGGACGGACAACAGAAAAGTGGGTGAAGGGAGACGGCGGTCAGTGGAAGACATGAAAAAATAATAATTTATAAATTATCAAGGGTTCATGAGTGAGGGAGGGTGGGGGCGGAATGAGGAGCTGATATCAAGGGCTCAAGTAGAAAGCAAATGTTTTGAAAATGATGGTGGCAACATATGTACAAATGTGCTTGACACTTTGTATGGATGTATGCATTATGATAAGAGCTATAACAGCCCCCAATAAACTGATCAAAAAATAAAGAATTAAGTCCATTTTACTTTTATTTTTCCTCCTTTGATAGCCACTCTGACCAGTGTTTCGGTGTAATGGGTAAGGAATCTAGAGGATGGGGGGTGCACTCTAACTGAAGAATGACTCATTGAAAAATGGATCCTCATTCCAAGCTGATACCATAAACGTCCCCTCTGCCTCCTCTGAGTGTGACTTGGTAGAGAGAGGACTGTTAGATAGTTTCAAAATTTGGGACCTAGCCCTGACTGGTACTAGAAGCACACCATCATTGAATGTCACTGGAAGAAGATTGATCTATAAGTCATACCCTGTGTGTTTATATGTTCATACTGTGGATGTTAACATTAAGGTACCAGGCGGCAATAGGAGTGTTCCTGTGGTCTCAGACTGGTTAATAAGAGAAATGGCCACCTAATTAGAATTCTCCTAATCTCCAGCCAATTATCTCCATAGATCATTGTAACTTATTGTCTGCCTGTAAAGAGTCTGGGTCTCAGTTTTTCATCTGTAATTACTCATTGTCTTTAATCAAGAAGAAATTATCCCTAATAATATTTCTTCAACTATTGTCTTTCTCCAGCCTTTTTATTAATTCTACAAAGACTTTGATGCTTCTTCTTTTTTTTTTTCCGCTTGTGTAAAGGTTAATTCTGTCTTGTTTTGTTTCAGTTGTTACCAAATTTGTACCATGTTGGTGGTGCATCTTGGGCAGGGGCCAGCGGCTTGTCCTCCAGTCCAATTCAGGAGACCCTGGATTCAATGGCTGGGGAAGTTACAAGAGTCGTAGATGAACAACTAAAGGTTTGTGGGTTACTATTTTAGAAAGTGAAATTGTTATGATTCAAGTATGTGTGACAGCATTTGTACCCTAGCTACATTTGGTTTTTGGGGTGTGTGTGTGTGTGTGTGTGTGTGTGTAGTAAACAATTGAAGAGTGTGTCTTTTCCAACTTTTTTAATGGTTTGGATTAATGGCTTGCATAATAAGGACAAGAAATCTCTCAAAACTCAATTTTCTCTTTGATGGTAAATATAAATATACTCACTATGTGATGTTACCAGTGGCTTTTTGATAAGGGAATGATCAGTTTCTTCTTAGAGAAAGAGGTCTGCTTCAGGAAATAGGTCCGTTCTTAATTACATGTGTGTATTGGCCTGGGTTTTCTAAAGAAACAATATCAGTGGCACCATATGTGTGCGAAAGAACTCTACTGAGAAATAAATTTATAAATAAATAATGTTTTATAAGGAAGCAGCCTACCTAGCCCAGTCCAGCTCAAGTCCCTGGGTCTGATGAATCAGGAAGTCAAATTGGGAAGCTGGGAGATTCTAGGCTGGTGGGTACAGAGTTGCATGGATCCAAGTTTGGCAAGCACAGGGCAGAGCACTGCCAGCTCCCATGGTCAATGGTCCTCAGAAGCCAGACAGGATCCAATCAAGCTGGAAGTAGACGGCCAAGTAGAAGCCCAGTTTTCCACAGTATCTCTTCTCCATGGGCCACACACCTAAGGAGACATCATTAGGCTATGTCCTGATTGAGGGGTTGGACTCCACCCCTACCTTCCCACAGGTACAACCACGTGACACAAGCCCTAACCCTCACAAAGTGATGTGATGCAGTGATGAGAACGCTGATAGGAGCTGAGCTTCCAGTGCTTAGACACTGCTTATCTGGGGAGTCTGCTGAAGTAAATAGATAATGAAAGTATCAAGGAGCTGGTTGAAAGAAAGGAGAAGAATTTAGAACGAAGTTACAAGGACCTGAAGTAGCAGGGGATCTCCTGTAGGTTCTATGACTAAACCCGGGAGGCGGGAGGAAGGGAGATTTCAGAAATTTTAGTAGATAAAGTAACTTTAAGAGTCCCTAGGGTTACGGTCAGTTAAGCACTTGACTACTAGTCAAAAGATTGGTGACTTGAATCTTTCCAGAGGGACCTCAGGAGAAAGGCAAGGTAGTCTACTTCCCAAAACATTAGTGGTGAAAAACTTGAAAGAGCACAGTTCTACTCTGCATACATGGAGTCACCACGAGTTGGAATCTACTCAACAATTGGCAACAACAAGAGTAACCAATTTTTCTTCAGTTAACTTTATAAACCAGGGCTTGGTTCAAGTACACCTTAATCCTCAAAGTGCACCTTTGTTTTTTAGTACATTGAAAAGGTCTTTTGCAGCGTATTTTCCCCTTGTAATATGCTGTTCTGTTCTTGACTACAACTTGTTGATTGTGGATCCATGTAAAATGAAATCCTTGACAACTTAAATCTTCATTTATGTGTCATGCTGTTGTCTATTAATCCAGTTGTAAAGATTTTTGTTTTCTTTACACTGGATTGTAATTCATACTAAAGACTGATCATCGATCTTCATCAGCAAATGCTTCAAATTCTCTTCCCTTTCAGCAAATTGGGTTGTGTCACCTGCATAGCTCAAGTTGTTAATAAGCCTTCCTTCGGTCCTGATACCAAGGTCTTCATAGTGTCCAGCTTCTCGGATGATTTGCTCAGCGTGCGGATGGAATAAGGGTGGTGAAAGGATACAACCCTGATGCACAACCTTCTGGCCCCCAGTCGGCTCTCCCAGAGCACTCCCCACTCTTCAGTAATCTCTGCAGTATCTCCTTGTTCTGTTAGAACCATTGCCTGCTGGTCTATGTACAGGTTCCACAGGAGCACAATTAAGTGTTCTGGAATTGCCATTGTTACCCATAAGTTGTTATGATCCACATTTTGTTAAAGAAACCTAATGAAGAATTTATGCATTTGAATTATGGTATTGGCAAAAAGTATTGAATATCCCATGGATTGCCAGAAGAACAAACAAACCTGTTTAGGAAGAAATATAGCCAAAATGCTCCTTAGAAAAGAAAACGATGGCATTTTGTCATCTGTATTTTGACCATGTTATCTGAAAGGACTACTATATGGAGAAGGGTAACATGCTTAGCATAGAGGTTCATCAAACACAGGAACGCCTTCCACAAGATGGACTGACACAGGGGTTGCCACAACAAGCTCAAATTTAGCAACGCTTGTGAGGGTGACACAGGACTGGGCAGTGTTTCTGTTAAACATATGGTCGCTGTGAGTGTAAAAGGAAATGACACGGGAGTGGCATCTGACCTCCACTAACTTCACAGAGGGAAGGAAAAGAATCATCAACACCAGCTGCCTAAGGCCAATTTCTGAGTCAGACATGCCCCACCCTCCAGTCCTCTCTCCCAGAGCACTGCCCCCCCTTCAGTGGGCTTCAATGACCGATGGCAATGGCGACACAGAACTTACAGGCAATATTCTCAGTGATGGGTTTATTTTTTTTTCCTTTTTCTTTTTTAAAAAAAATCGTTTTATTAGGGGCTCCTACGACTCTTATCACAAACCATACATACATCAATTTTGTAAAGCACATCTGTACATTCATTGCCCTCGACATTCTCAAAACATTTGCTCTCCACTTAAGCCCCTAGCATCAGGTCCTCATTTTTCCCCACTCCTTCCCTGCTCCCCCCTCCCTCGTGAACCCTTGATAATTTATAAATTATTATTTTGTCATATCTTGCCCTGTCTGATGTCTCCCTTCACCCACTTTTCTGCTGTCCGTCCCCCAGGGAGGAGGTCACATGTAGTTCCTTATAATTGGTTCCCCCTTTCCAACCCACCCTCCCACTACACTCCCAGTATCATCACTCACACCACTGGTCCAGAAGGGATCATCTGCCCTGGATTCCCTGTGTTTCCAGTTCCTATCTGTACCAGTGTACATCCTCTGGTCTAGCCAGACTTGCAAGGTAGAATTTGGATCATGGTGGGCGGGGGGAGGAAGCATTTAGGAACTAGAGGAAAGTTGTATTTTTCATCGTTGCTACATCACACCCTGTCTGGCTCATCTCCTCCCCGAGTCCCCTCTGCAAGGGGATCTCCAGTGGCCTACTAATGGGCTTTGGATCTCCACTCCGCACTCCCCCCATCATTCACTATGGTAAGATTTTTTGTTCTGATGATTCCTTACACCTGATCCCTTCGACACCTCGTGATCGCCCAGGCTGGTGTGCTTCTTCCATGTGGGCTTTGTTGCTTCTGAGCTGGATGGCCACTTATTTACTGCCAAGCCTTTAAGACCCCAGACGCTATACCATTTGATAGCCGGGCACCATCAGTGATGGGTTTATTAAGGATATTAACAGATCACAAATGCCCAGGATGCAGTGATTCATAAAGGACAGCCTCTTCTGAACTGTATGTACCTCACAGGGAGGCCCTCAGCCACCGGGGTCCATTGGCCTTTATTCTGTGCAATGTTACAAAGCTCTTTGAGGGCGGCCAATAAACGCCCACAGGGCATTGCCACTGCACCGTAAACTTCAACCCAAAGGCACTCCGCTCTAGTTCCGTGGATCAGCAAACCCAGCGCCTCCAAGCAAGTGCCCGGAGGCACCTACCTCCCCACACCAGGCTCCTGGTCCCCGGCACACACCTTACTTGCTCTGTGAGCTGGAAAGGCTGCCATTACGTTTCACACTCTTGCTTTGGGTTCTGCTGCTGCCGCTCCTCTATGGATCCTCTCGTCAAATCTGTCGCCTGTATCAAGCAAGGTTCAGTGGAACCACTCTACTCCTTTCTTCTTGCTAGCAGTGAGGTTCCCCCACCACCCTTCTGAGACGGCTGGTTTCATACCTAGCAGGACGACAATCATAAGTAACCCAGTTCAGTCACTTACAACTGAATCCTGTGCCTTCCCACCCCTTCTTCTCCCCAGACCCATCATCAAGAGGTTGTTTGGTGGGAATAACAAAGACGATGGCTAGAAAAATCATATTGCACTTTGCTGATCAGCTATTTCAGGCTGAAACTATCCCATGCAAATGTAAAGACGTTGCAAAAAAAAAAGAAGACCTACGTTGCTTTCATGCTTACACACTGCAGAAATTAATGTAAGTGCAACCAAAAGTTAATGCTTGATCTGTCAGCAACATTCAGGCATGAAAACCCTAGTATGCTTGTGACCAGGCTGAATATTGTATCAAACAATTGGCTGCACTGCAGGGAGCCAGGACCAACTCAACAGCAGCTAACAGTACCAACTTCAAAATAGCTACCACACAGTATAGCTCTTATGAAACACACATCCTCTGGTTCTTTGAGGTTTCCTCACCCCACACTATCACGACACGGGTCCTGCCTTTCAGTTCTGGCTACACCGGAGCATATACACTGGTACAGATAAGAGCTCATGACACACAGAATCCAAGTCAGATAAACCTGTCAGGAACAGAAATGGGAGTAGCGATACCATAAGAGTAGGGGGGAGGTGGGGGAGATGGGGAGGAAGGGAGAACTGACGGCAATAACACATAATCCCCTCTCCCCCACAGGGATGAACAACAGAAATGTGGGCGAAGGGAGACAACGCTCCGTGTGAGATATGAAAACAGCAATAATTTATAATTGATCAAGGGGTCATAAGGGTGGGAGTGGGTGGAGGGAGGGAAAAAAGAGGAACTGATACCAAGGGCGCAAATAGAAAGTAAATGTTTAGAAAATGATGATGGCAGCGTATCTACAAATATGCTTGATACAATTGATGTGTGGAATGTTGTAAGAGCCCCAGTAAAATTGTTTTTTTTTTTAAAGTAGGAAAATAAAATAGCTACACTAGAGAAATTTCACATTCAAGAAATTTTCCTCATTTTTTTATCTTCCTGTTCAAGGATGTCTTTTAAAGAAGTGACTAAATTTCTATAATTATTTGCTCTGTTTTCTGTTGAGAAAACAATTGCTGCAGTGCTCAGAGATTTGATGCACA